AAGATGCTTGCAAGAAAATTAGTGGCTAGTAGAGAACATGCCAAGAAATTGAATGAGATGCTACAAGCCAGTCAAGCAGAAGAAACCCTAAAAATCTGAGGATTCCTTCAAGTCTGCAACTGAGGGGGAAGAACCAGTTTCATCTAAAACTAAACAGTTAACTTCTGGGTTAAAGACTTCTGATGTTGCATCTAAAATTACTAAGAATCTTGAAAATAGATTTGTGCTGATTGGTTCTATTGTTGGTGTAGAAAATATTCTGTCTGGGAAAGTTGGTGATAAAAATGTAAAAGGAAAAGAGAAAGAGAGTGAGGGTGTTGAAGTAGATGTGAGGGGAAATGGAGAAGAAAGAGTGGCAGAACCTTCTTCACCCACTCTTGTAAGTCTGATTGAAGAAACATGGGCAATGGTTTTATAGGGTGAGGAGGGTATTGATAGGGAGGAAAGTGTTGAAATAGGAGGTAGAGGTTCTAGGGACACTATTGCAGCGGAGGGGCTGGTTAGTTGAGGAAAAGGTTCTATGAACCTGTTTTATCTAGAAAGGAAATCCTCCATGACCAGCTGCAGAAAGTTTATGATAGTTACAATCCAAAGAAGGAGAAGAGCGCATGTAGTTAAAATTCTCGGAAAGGAAATAGGTAGCAAGAAAAGAAAAGTTGCCTCTTTTATCCCTGTAGATACTCCTTCCAAAAGAGGAAAAACTCCAAAGAGCCAAAAGAAGCAGAGTGAGACCAACTTGAAAAAGGCCTTAGCTGAAAGTGCTAAGAAAGTTGTTGCCAAGGGTAAGAAAAAAGTTCGAAAAATAAGTGAGGCGATTCAGATAGAGGAAATGGACGTGGTTCTTCATGATGAGGATGAGACAGAGGAAATAAAGGTTGTGCTCCCGACACTAAAAAAAGAAGGACTTCTAAGAAGAAGTCTCCAGAAAAGACTATTGAGGCAGAAGACTGTGTTTTGTCTAAGAGAACTAGGTCTGCTAGGAAATCAAAAAAAATCAAGTAGTGGAGGAAGAAAGTGAAGAAGAGGAGATGGATGAAGAAAAGGATAAAATGGTAAAATTCTAGAAAAGAACCATTTTAAAAGGAAGGCTTGTAAAGTGATTTAAGGAAAAAGGTATGGTTGGAAAACTGGATATACAAGGATGGAAGGACGTGGTCCTTCAGTTGGAAGGAAGGCCGGCCAGGCCTAAAATTGTTGAACTCTTTGCAAGTTGTGAGATTGACAATGGGAGGGTCAATAGTAAAGTGAAAGGAGTGAAGGTAAACTTTGATGAGAAGGAGCTTGGGGAGATTCTAAGTATACCTGTTGAGGGGTATAATGACTATAAAAAGTTGAAGTCCCAGTCTCGAAAATCTTCCTACCTCACTGGCCATTACCAGGAAGTTTGCTGACAGGGACTTGGAGCAAGAACTCAGGATTGTATACAAGAGTGAGGTTAAGCTAGCTCACAAAGTGCTCTTTGAATTTGTGAACAAGGTGATTCTGCCCAGGCAGGAAAGAAGGCACAGTGCTACCTTCATGGACCTGGTCATAATCTATCTCCTTCATAGGGTTGTTTGTGGCACCAAGACTCATGACATTTTCTATGGCTTTATCCTAACTGATGTGCTTTACTACTTCAAGGTTCTCCTCAAGAAATTGAATATTAGCACTAGTAAAGACTATTTTGGGACGGCACTTTGACTGATTGTGACTACCAAATCCAAAATGCACCCAAAGAACCTAGTTCGTCCAAGAGGGTACCTAAGAACATCAAGGTTGGAGCATTGGAGAAAGAGAAGAATGAGGTCAGTCTTCACGACATGTTGAAGTTGTTTCATGCAAAGAACCAAGAACATGGTCTTTCCTAGTCCCAATCCTTTCCTAGCCCAGTTTCTAACCAGTGACCCTAGTGGGATTTTTCTATTTTTTGCTCATGGTTCTATGTTTTTATTTCTTTTTATGCTTTGTGGTAGGATCTTATCAATGAAATTCACTACTTTTGCTCTAATTGTTTGTTGATATTTATTAGATGACTAATATTCTTAGATTGATAAGAGAAAATTGAACCCATGATGGTATTTGAAGTAGCCCTAGTGGGCATGAGTGATATCTGTTAAAATCTGGTTACTTAACTTAATTATGCAACTTTTTAATGATGCCAAAAGATGGGAGATAAGGTGTGCTTATGTTTTGGACTGTGATGTTTATAACCTAATGAACCTGGTCCTTGATGATTTGTGACTTTAAAAGTATTCTAACATTGTATTCGATGTTGAGTTGAGTTACTGAGCTGAAACAGGTTCCATGCTACTGAAAAGCACAGAGTTTGTCATCATAAAAAAGGGAGAATTCGTTGACCTGAGCGGTTTTGGTTTTGATGATTAACAAAGGAGCATATGCATGAACCAGATCCATAGACAGTGTACACAGATCATGGTCAGATTTAAAGGCATGCACGTGCAAGAGATAAGTATAAGTGGTTATTTCTGATATTCCGTGAATGAAAGATTGCATATTATATATATATATATATATATATATATATATATATATATATATATATATATATATATATATATCAGTTGTGATCTCTTCTACGGGTGAGACACACGCTGAAGTTAAGCAAGAATTGAGAGCAAAATAGAAAGGCATTTTGTGAGCAATTCATTTGAGGTTCAAGAATGTGAACTTGAAGCTACATGAACCAGATAGAATAACCGGTTCCATGTGTCTATCTTTTATTCTAGTTCAATTGCAGTAGGAGCTTTTGAGTTATACCTTTCAGTTTTTCTTAGAAGCATTTGTACTAAGTACTTGAGTTGTATTGTTCAAGTTAAAGTTAACTTGAAGCAGTCGCAACAGTCTGTGGATTTTTGCTACAAGGGCTAGAGTTCAATCCTTAGGTTTACAAGAAGTTTGTAAGCATTGTTGTTTGACTCAGAGTTGTAGTAAAGTGTAGGGAAAAATTATACTTTGAAGTAGGTTGTGATTTTTTCACCTTTTGAGCCGGTTGTTTTCCATGTAAAATACTTGTGTTCTTTACTTTCTGCATCATTTATTCCGCAATAGTAGATTAAAGAACGCACAGAAGAACCAGGTCCTTTATAAATTAGTGCACACGAAAATTGGACACGCATAAATCACCCCCTCCTCTTGTGTGATATTGAAGTATAAAGCATAAATTAGGAATGAAGATATTCGGGTCGGGAGGAGTGGCCCCGGTGGAAGAAAAAATACGGGAAGCGAGACTTAGATAGTTTGGGCAAGTGAAAAGAAGAAGCACATATTCCTCAATGAGGAGGTATGAGAGGTTGACCTTGGTGGATTTGAAGAAAGGTAGATGTAGGTCAAATAAGTATGGGATAAAGGTGATTAAGTAGGATATGGCGTTGCTTCGGCGTACCGAGAACATGACTCTTGATAGGAAGGTGTGAAGGTCGAGAATTAAGATAGAAGGCTAGTCGGTAGGCGAGAATGTTTCTTTCCCATATAGCATTGGTGTTAGTCTTGTATGATATTATTGTTAGCTTTCTATTACTACAAGTTCCTTTCGCTCGTTTTCTTATTATGTTGTTGTTGATACTGCTTGTTGCTATTACTTTCTTTTCATCTTTCTTTAAGCCGGAAGTCTACTGAAAATAATCTCTCTACCTTCAAAGTAGAGGCAAGGTCTGCGTACAGACCCTACTTGTGGGATTATATTGGGTTTGTTGTTTACGTAATAGGAAAAAAAAAAATATTGAATGAGATTTTAACTAGTGCAAATTTTCTTTCTACATAATTATTACTTATAAGGTAATTTTTATAATATGTACTAATTGGTAAACTTATATCAATAGTATTATTAATTAACATGTTAATAGATAAAACAACACTAATCATGTAAATTTCAGTCCAATGTCATGTAATTAAGTAGTGACGATGTCATGGAAAATATATAGGGTATGGGATTAATACGTATTTAGACAAATGCAACTTCTTATGTATACACAGTTGGTGTCAAGTTACAGATCAGAATTAAGAAGCCCTAGTCTTCGAAGTCTCATTTTGTTTATTTTTGAAGTCGCACCCTAAAGAAAACAATGACTGCTTGATAAAACATTTTATTACATACAAAAATTAGTAGTTGAACCATTTAGTAGTGAAGGCTTTGTTTCTTCCATAGAGATACGCCATTTCTTTTTTTAATATGCTTCGTTGCCAAATCCGCCAGATAGCCTGAGAGTTAAGAGTTCCACAATATCACATTTGGCGTTCTAAAAGGCGGGGCGTAACACATGACGTTTTACTTAACGTAAGGCAAGACGTTAGCCCCGAAACATTATCCTGAGTTTCTACAATTTCTTCCATATTTTGAGAGGTAAAATATAAAAGTTATTACATAAAAGACCCCTTGAACTCTCAATATTTTGTGAGTTCATACCTAAGTTATGGTATGCTTCTATTCCCCCCAGAACTCTAATTTTTCAAGGTTAATAACCCCCCTAAAAACTAAGAAGTACAATTTTTAACCTTGAAAAGTAATAGTTCGGGGGATAATAAAAGCACCACATAATTTAGATATGAAACTCGCAAAACGATTACAGTTTAGTGCGTGTTTTTATATATTAACTCAAAATTTAATTTTAAAAGAAATTCTGATGATCGATTAAGGCTTTGATTTAGTTGAGGCAAGGGGCAAGAAGGATGCATGAAAGGTGTAGAGCCTTAGCACATCCTACTTCTTGCAAGAGTATTATTGCGTGACCTTAAGTTTTTTTCTACTTATTCTACTATATGAGCCTCATACAGCGCTACGCTCCTTTAATATGATGAGAAGGTTACTCTATTTCCTGTATCAATCTTCATCTATTTCTACATCTTTTTTAATAGCTAGATTTTTCGAGACATTATTTGTATTACTTCATGCATAACTTCCATTCATTGATAAGGAAAAGAAAAAAAAGAAGTGAAAATGGATCAGATTAATAATAATAATAATTCATATATAAGTAGATAATATGACAACAAAAGTAAAATAATCCCCAAATATTTCTAGATTATTTAGTAAGTAAAAGCAAACAACAATAAGGAAAATTTGAACAAAGCAACATGAACTCCTAAGTAATATGGCCACATTATAGGACTAATGCAACAGGAGAAACTTCTGATCAGCAGTGGTATATTACTTCAGAATCACCATGGGGCAGCAGCATCCATATCATCGAATGTGATTGCAGGACTTGCAGCAGGGCCTTCACTCAACTGACGGCCATATCCGCCGCCGTATCCAGTACTGGCGGCGGGGCCTTCAGTCAATTGACGGCCATATCCGTCGGAGGCTGGTGCCAACGCTGCACCTGAACTTTGGATTTGGCTCATTTCACGGCGTCCGTTTAATTTTTTCCCCTTACAAAATGCTGGCAAATATACCCCTGCCACAAAGCACGAAATATTATAGGGATCTTTACATAAATAGCCAATTGACAATTAATCAAGATATTCAAACTCGATTATGTTGCAGGTTGAATTGTAAGCATCTATTATAAGTTGTATCCCCGGAGCCATGAGACAATTTAATGTTAAAATAACGTTTCTAACTCAGGGCAATGTTTTTTGCTACTTAAACAAGAAGGAAATGTAGCTTAATTACCAAAGTTTACTAAAAGCTAAAGGTTTTAGCCCATATTTTAACCGTTTGTAGCAAGTTTCTCGTAGTTATCTTGTAACCATATTTAGATGACTGTATAAAAGAACTTTTACACTATCGGTGTATATTAACATGTTGGAATAAGTTACCTGCTTTATTCTTGTAGGTTACAAATGTCACTTATTATCAACGGTTACGATATCCTTCACACATTCAGTCTGATCTTATTTGTACTATTGCCCGATCATAGTTGTACTGTACTATTAGATTATTTATCCGTCTCTCCTACCCTATTAGAACAGTTTGGTTTGTAACAACACAACCTGAAAGGAAGTCAGTTCTTAATAGGAAGTTTCTAGTCATCTTTCTTGAGGAGCGAGAAAAGACTAATTATCTTTTAGGTGATCGGATAGTGTAAACCTTCTAAAACTGCATAGAAGTTAAAGACTTTAAAAGTTATAAAATGGAATACCTTCTCCCAAAGCCAAGTTGTAGTAAAGATCAACAATGTTTGGGCACTTTTGGTAACATTGTTGGGAGCAAAGCTTAAAGGTAAAACTTGATTCAAGAAGATAATCAGAAGAAATGCCAACAGAGTCTCTGTTAGCTCCACAAGCACTTATGCACTCATCACTTTCAATCCAATTTGCTATTCCATTAATAGCGACTACTACCTCTGAGGTCTTGCATTGATATCCTGTTGTTCCCTCACTTGATTCATAAGTCTCCAAAGTGCATCTTTTCCCTAAGGAATCAACTGAGTAGGCACACTTTCCTACTGACAAATCTTCACATACAATTTCTCCTGCATTTTTCAAATAATATTAGGAAATACAGGATTTTAAGTCAGTGAATTTTAAAGTAACTGCGGACATAAATTTTGCGCGCGCGCGCGCACACACACACACATATATATATAATATATATTATATATAATTATAATATATATATATATATATATATATATATATATATATATATATATATATATATATATATAATATATATATATATATATATATCAGGGGTGTTATGTAAGCATGGGCGAAGCTACATTTTTATAAGGGTGGTCAATTGACCACGCTTCGTCGAAAAATTACATTACATATATAGGTAAAATATTAGATTTTAGAGGTATATGACATATTATTGAACACCCTTTGTTGGTAAATTTTTTTCACTTCTTTCAAGTTTGAACACCCTTGGATAAATTTCTGGCTCCGCCACTGGTATGTAGCCCTATAACACCGGGTTCAATTGAACCCATAACTTTCGACGCGGAGTGCAATTTATATGCAAAAAATCACTAAAATCGTAATAAATTATAGATATGAACCCATACTTTTAGGATATAATGAGTTCAGTAAGAACCTTAAAGATTGAACCCATAGAGTTTAAATCCTGAATCAGCCTCTGTGTATATTGTACAACTACCTAACCTACCAAGTACTAGATGGAGATTTAATCTCATGATCCTCCTTCTTTTATATACAGAGAGAGAGTCAGATTTTTCTATAATAACATTTCAGTATACGGCCAAGTTTTCTTGCCATTTTTATATTATGTTATATAATAGCACTTCATTATAACAGCCAAAAAATATCGCAACAAATAGGCTGTTATAAGAGGTTTGATTGTACACGGAGATGGAAATGTATCCCTAATTAAGATTGATATATAGATTACTTTTATCAACAATATATAAAAGAAGAATACATACCATTACCAAGAGCTCCATGGATGAGAAATGAGAAAACAAGGAAGATAATGAGCTCCATATTTGGTAAAGAATTAAAGGCTTTCTTCTTTGGGAAAGTACAAAATGCAATAGGAGAATTTGCTGATGAGAGAAATAGAAGAGAAATAGGTGTTTATATAGGCAGAATTCAAATGAGTCCAATAAGAAATGCCACTCAATCATTGTGGAATTCGTTTTGGATATAAGTTATATATACTGATAGAGTGAATAATTTTTAAAGTACAGCAACGGTTGTAGTACATTGCTAGTGCCTTTGCATTGGATTTTGTGTAAATAGTGCCGCTTAATTGTCACAATTTAGTTTGCAAGTGGTTTGCGTCTACGACCTGTAGCGATTTAAGAGATTTACTCTGTGTTACAAATTGATATTTACTTTCTATCCAACCGTCTCTCTTTCCTTCATAAGGTAGGGTTAAGGTATGCGTATATACTACCCTCCCAGGCCCCACATGTGAGATTGCACCGGGTTTGTTGTTATTATCCAACCGGTGATGATTGTTTCGTAAAAGGATACACTTTCCTTCCCAATTTAATTATGTGATACGTTCGAATTTGGAGAGTTAAAATTCTTGCGAATCCAGATATAGAATCTTTAAATTTTTTGAAAATTAAATTTACTAGAATTTAAAATTACAATTGTAATTTGGCTTTTACTATAATTTGATTCATAAAGTTTTTTTTTACGTTAATTTTATTCGTGTTATAAAGATTTAGATTCATTATTATTTTTGGTTAGATTGTTGTTATGTTTGGTATTGGGCTGGGTGGAAGTGATTTGTCTTTGCATAGTCAGCCGAATGGAGACCTTTTCATGGTGTTCAAATATAAAGCCTGCAGAATGGTGTTTTGGATTTGTTTTCTTCCCTTATTTCAATGAGGACAATTTTGCGGAAATACCAATTGCCATGTGTCTTTCTTTTATTTTCCAAAATTCACTCGGTGAAGTTGTATACTGGAATCTCATTTTTCTTTATCTTGAAGAATTATTTGTACTACACACACACAAAAAGAAGATTGACTTCAAAACCGAAGTTACTCAGTAGTCAGTCCATTCAATCAACGGTAATCTCAAACGACGGTATAAAATAATTCGTACTATTTGTTTTGTTCAATTTAAAATTCAGTACTTAGTGGATTCATTATAATAATCCATTTTTACACTGATTTGTTTTCTTCCGTTGTTTCGATGAGGACAATTCAGCGGATCTTCCAATTGTCATGTGTCTTTCTTTAAATTCCAGATGCACTAAGTGACGTTGCAAAATGGAATCTCATTTTCTATTCGATATGTTCGAGCCAAATATTCAACTTTTAGATGATTCGTTTTATTTAACCTATTTTTAGTTAAGCTAAAGTTAATACTAGAATTCTTGTGCAGGTATTCATTGCAGTTGGTAAACCTTAACGAATACCTATTCGCACACTAGAAGTCAAATAACAAGATCAATTGACACACGAAAGTTATATGACAAGATAAAAGCAATTGTAGCTATGTCTAACATCTTATATGTATTATGTATACAACCGTGGTAATCATAAGTTCAAATAGGTATTAGAAGTATATACCAACTACAACATGCATTCTCATCAACCAATCACAGATATCTTAGCATAAGCAACAAAATATTCAATTTGCAATTAAAGGATAGTGACAAGTTCAACAAAAATACAGGTTAAGTCTCTTTCTCTTCACTACTAAAGTTCATCTCCTCCTATGGGTATGGTAGTTGAGGTTACATCCACAGTTGAAAGGAACTATTGCTTAAAATATAAGATAAGATTTCCCAGCATTATTAGCTCACTAGTCATGATATGCTTCCTCTTCATCCTCATATCCTTCATCCTCATCTGCTACTGCATCTTGGTACTGCTGGTACTCTGAGACCAGATCATTCATGTTACTCTCTGCCTCAGTGAACTCCATCTCATCCATTCCTTCCCCAGTGTACCAGTGCAAGAAAGCCTTCCTCCTGAACATGGCTGTGAATTGCTCACTGACACGACGGAACATCTCTTGAATTGATGTTGAGTTTCCAATGAAAGTTGATGCCATCTTCAGACCAGTTGGTGGAATATCACAGACAGTTGATTTGACATTGTTGGGGATCCACTCAACAAAGTATGAAGAATTTTTGTTCTGCACATTAAGCATCTGCTCATCAACTTCCTTGGTGCTCATCTTCCCCCTAAACATAGCTGATGCTGTCAAATAGCGGCCATGCCTAGGGTCAGCAGCACACATCATGTTCTTTGCATCCCACATTTGCTGAGTAAGCTCAGGGACAGATAAAGCTCGGTATTGTTGCGAACCACGTGAGGTAAGTGGAGCAAACCCAACCATGAAAAAGTGAAGACGGGGGAAAGGAATGAGATTCACAGCAAGTTTCCGCAGATCAGAGTTAAGCTGGCCAGGGAATCTGAGGCAACAAGTAACTCCGGACATGGTTGCAGATATTAAGTGATTCAGATCACCAACTGTAAGAAAACAAAGGCACCATTCAGCAAGGAAAAATTTTCAAAGAAGCTGCAGAACAAACAATCCATAGCATAAAGCATATTCGCATTGACTGGTCAATATTGTTGCTAAGCAAACACAACCAACCAATCATGCCTCAATCTCAAATGAGTTGGGGTTGGCTAAGCAAATACATAAAATTTAGTTTATGGATGCAAATTAAAGAGAGAAAAACAATTTACAAAATAACCAGTTGATGAAACACATAATGTTTTGTTTCCATCTCAAGGATGGCCATGATTTCCAAGTTGTTTATAAATAGTTATGTTATTGAGATAACAGGTATTCAGATTCATCATTCTCAATACATAAAAGATTGAGTGAGGTAAGATTTTAGAAAATAAGACCAAAAACATAAATAACAATGGCCACATTGCAGGGGAGGCTATTGGCCCTAATGAGAAAATTAGTTTCAACATCAGACACCCTGAAACACCTTTCATGTCTCAAAGTTATCTCGTGTTGAAATAAACCCCTGGAAAATTTCGACCAATGTCATCCGTACGAATCAAGGATACTTACAGCTAGGAGTTGTAAGTTTGAGGGTACGGAAACAAATGTCATAGAGTGCCTCATTATCAAGAACCATGCACTCATCTGCATTCTCCACAAGCTGATGAACGGACAATGTTGCATTGTAAGGCTCTACAACAGTGTCCGAGACCTTTGGAGATGGGAAAACAGAGAATGTTAGCATCATCCTGTCTGGGTATTCCTCTCTTATCTTTGAAATGAGAAGTGTCCCCATTCCAGACCCAGTCCCTCCTCCCAGGGAATGGCACACCTGAAACCCTGCATACAATTCCACACATAAGTGTACATATAAAAAGAAGAAGAAAAAAGGAAAAATTCTCAAGCACATCTCAAATGAATAAAACAATAGAACTGTCAAACGTATAAAAAAGGGGGTGGGGGAGTGGAGGTCTCAAGCACATAACCAAATAAATAAAACAACAGAACATCTGATGATGAAACCAATCCCACAAGTTAATAGATCATGATATGCATAAAACGTCAAGAAGACACCTTTCAGCAATCATAACAAACAGCTCCTTTGTGCACAACATCCAGAACAAATACAACCAACTTAGGACCCTCAGGTTAATGACCACTCATTTATTCAGCGCTACATAATTCGTCTTTTAAAGCAAATTTGGTCTCTCTAAAGCTAGAAATATCAATTATCCTTACATGAACACATGGGTTCCTTAACTAGGAAAACCAAACAAAACATGGTACATAGACTAAGGTAATTGCAACAACATAGACTATGCTCATGCATCAAAAGGAAAGTACAAGCACATCAGAAAAGAATATATATATATATATATATATATATATATATATATATATAAAATTGACTTAAGTATCAAAGAACAATCATCATGAATAGATACATCAAGATGTGGATAAAAATTTCATCATACACCTCATAGGCCATCAAAATTTCAGCTTCTCAGATGAATAAAACCATAGAACTTAGAATACTTTAAACAATCACCATGAATGAACAAACCAGGATATGTTAGACATTAAAACAAAAACCTAACAGAAAATCACAATTTTCAGCGTCTCAATTAAGGAAATAATAGAACTTGTGATATTAAAACAATAAACAAGTTAACAAATCAGGATATGCATAAACATTTAAAGAAATCCTCGAGGGTACTCACAATTTTCAGCTTCACAATAAATTGAATCATAGAACTTCTGTTACCAAAACAGATCCCACAAGTTAATAAATCAAGATATGCATAAGCATTCAAACAAGCACCTTGTAGGCAAACACAATTTAAAGCTTCTCAAATAAATAAAACATAATATATATATATATATATATATATATATATATATATGGTTTAATAAATCAAAAAAAAACACATAAACATTTTAACAAACACCTTGTAGGCAATAACAATTTTAAGCTGTATAAAATTATAAAACTTACAAAATAAAAAACAATCACCAGAAGTTAATTAATGAAGATACGAATAAACATTTTAACAAGTACCTTGTAGGCAATCACAATTCTCAGCTTCTTTACGAACAACATCGAGAACAGAATCAATCAACTCAGCACCCTCGGTATAATGACCTTTAGCCCAATTATTCCCCGCACCAGACTGACCGAAAACAAAGTTATCAGGCCTAAAAATCTGACCATAAGGCCCAGATCTAACACTGTCCATAGTACCAGGCTCTAAATCCATAAGAACAGCACGAGGTACGAAACGCCCACAGCTTGCCTCATTATAATAGACATTTACCCTCTCAAGTTGAATATCCGTTTCCCCATGGTAAGCGCCGGTGGAATCGATCCCGTGCTCCGCGCACACAACCTCCCAGAACTTGGCCCCAATTTGGTTGCCGCATTGGCCACCTTGGATATGGAGGATTTCACGCATTTTATTAGGGTTTCGTTCGAAGGAGGGAGGAGAAAGAGAGAGGATAGTTGATGGATTTTTTTGTGTGAGAAATGTGAGAGGAGAAAAAGGGCTAATGAGGAGTTTATATAGTAAGGGTTGTTTGGGGGGAGGGGGTTTGTGGTTTTTGAAATTTGAAATATTTGAGTGGTGGGAAA